TTCTTTCATCTACCTCAAATTCGATTCCTAGTAGCCCGTTGACAAGAGATTATTATGCAACACTCAGACTTGAAATAGTAGTTGAGTGAGGGCTGATTTCTCGTGAGGTTTGGGTCCGATTTTGGTGGTAGGAACTTGGCTATTTATGGTAGATCATTTGGATCGATGACCCTAGTCAAGTGGAGTGTTCTAGCTGGTTCTCTTCTCTCTATGGATGGCGATTTTGCAAGACATGGAAGCTGTTCCTGAGCCTAACCATTCGGTCAGACTGAAGAGGGGAAAAACCTGCAGAAAGGAGAGAAGAAGGTTGCTTCTCTGGACGGTAAAAGGGAAGTCTCTGTCTCGTTTATTAAGCTGGTGATTCGGTCCAGTTAATGTCCAATTTAATATTCTGTTTCAGTTCTGATTTCGGTTTATGTGTTGATAGTATCCTGCTGTTTTCTGTAATCTGTGAATGCCATTGATATATGATTGATTACATATTGTTACTGCATGATTTCTGGAGTATGTTGAACTCTGTTATAGAGGTTTTGGTTCTGGGATTGATATTGAACTTTGTCATTGGTTTGGATGAGTCTTAGAACTTGTTTAATGCTGTTTCTATGCATGTTTGCTGTGTACATTGTGTCTGCATAGGCTCCTTATTCCCAACACATCAAACACTAACTCCCGTATTTAACACCACCCACCCACCCACCCTCATCTCCATCACCCGCACTCAGTCTCCGTCTCTATGATCCTCAATTTCATCCAAAATCAGAACTATCATTCCCACCATACCAGAACTCACAGCCTAGCAATATACATTTTCTTGACGCTTGTCCCCCACAGAGAGTGAGAGAGTTTATATGTCCACTGGCTAAGTCAAAGTAAAATTTCTAAAGATTTCATAAGAGAATACCTTCCAAATAAAATCTCAAACATTACATGAAAACCAAAAGTAAGGGGAAAAAGAAAAAAAAAACAGATGATTAACGAAGTACCTGATTGGAAATCGGCGCGTTTTTCTTTTCAAACTCGACACCAAAACCCAGCAGTCATCATTTCCTTATTTTTTTATGTTTATAATTCAGTGCACGTCAATCGGGGCGGGTTTAAAAACCCGTATAGAGAGAGGGGCGCGAAAGCCCAAAATTCTAAGCTTCCGTTTGGATTCAAAAGCCCGTTTGATTCTCATTTTTGTAGTACGAGAATGAAAAATATAGTCGTTATTGAATCCCATACAAAAGATAGAAATTCAAAATTGATAATTTGATATGATGAATAACACTCATATTTTTCATTTTTATAGATGAAAAATGAGAAATAAACGGGCTCCAAATATCAAAATATTTAAAAAATTCAATCATAATTATAAACCATTTATAGATTACCTAAGCAGAGGTTAAAAATCTTTTTAACGATTTCTTATATTAATAATTTTTTTTATCTACAGTATTTTTGAACTAAAAAAACCCATTTTCAGCTCCCTTTACTTTACTTTTATGTACTTAAAATAATATTAAAAAATGAAAATATAGGATTCACGACAAGAGATTTTCTATTAGGACGAGTGTCCGCCTCATTTGGACAAGGACGGAATATTTTGTCATCACTAGGTATAGCCCAACTATGGGGTAAGGGTTTAAAATAAAGATAAATGGTAAAGTTAATATTATTGAATATTCAGAGGATGTTTGGTGGGAATTAAAATTAGATTTTAATAGATTGTGATAAAAGTTTTTGAAATGTGTTGTTGAAAAGTTGTGGGACCCATGAAAGATGTGGTTAATATTGATTGTTTAAAATCAGATTTTAAATCAGACCAAATATGAGCTCAATTTAAAGTTGAGGAAAAGGCTTTTCCGTCGTGCATAATTAACCTAGTCTATGTAAAATATGAGCATTAGCAAGTCAAATTGTGGAGGATAGGACTCCTATGGTAGTATTTTATGGATTCAATTTTAAATAAATTTAAGGGTTGTTTGATAAAATATCAAAATTTTAGTAAAACACATTTTAGACTTTAAGAAAAACAAGAAAAAACCCGTCTTGTCGCTTCTAAATTGTAGTTATGTATCAAAATTTGATTAGTGACACGATCCAAGGTTACAGAGAGATGAATACAATATATTTGGACTCGTCTTTCCATGATTTACTCATGTTTATTTCTCAGCCACATATATCCTCAGATAATATCAAATCAACAAAAGGAAACCTTAATTAATTCCCATCAATATAAATTTTAGTATAGCAGCCAGCTGTTGCTTTGGTATTCCAAATATTAATTCTCACATAAATAAATATGTTCTCAATTAATACCCATATTTTCTCTATGAGTTTGATAAAAAAAATTAATTTTAAAAAATACGGTCAACGAGGGCTAAACATTATACAAACGAGTGATTGTTGCTGGACCTAACCGTTCGGTTCGTGGATTAGAACCAGTTCAGTCCCAATATTCACGCATGCCATTCGATGTATGTTGGTGCAAGAAGAGTTGATGGAACCGAAGTCATCGGAATATAGAGTTAGAGACCTAAATATTACAAAAAATTGAATACTCGTTCTGGTTACCTATGGTGTAACTGTGTAAGCATATCACCAATATGCTTACACTTAATTATTAACCTTTTCCATGGAATCCAAAAATTGAATAGAGTGCATCAAGGGCAATAATTCAGTTGATACTGTCAATCAATGAATTATTACCAAAAACTTGGTGTTTCTTACTAGTAAACAAATTAAATTCAAAAATCATGAAAATGAATTTCAGTATCTTATTAAACATTATATATAGCAATGGATGCCTGGAAGAAGAAACCACAGATCAAAATATGACAAGGAAGAAAGTGAAACTTGCTTTCATCACTAATGATTCGGCAAGAAAAGCAACATTCAAGAAAAGGAAGAAGGGTCTGATGAAGAAGGTGAGTGAACTCAGTACCCTTTGTGGTATTGATACATGTGCCATTATATATAGCCCTTACGAGTCTCAGCCCGAGGTTTGGCCGGACAATCGTGGTGTCCATCGCGTGTTGGCGCAGTTCAAGAGGATGCCGGAGATGGAACAAAGCAAGAAAATGGTGAATCAAGAGAGTTTCATCAGGCAGAGAATCGCCAAAGCGTGTGAGCAGCTAAAGAAGCAGCATAAGGAGAATCGAGAAAAGGAAATTACTCAGGTTATGTACCAGTGCTTGACGGGTAAAGGGCTGCAGAATTTGATGATGCCAGATTTGAATGATCTCGGGTGGTTGCTTGATCAGAACTTGAAGGAGATTAACAAGAGAATTGATGAGCTCAAAAAGAATGTTCATCCTCCTCCTCCTCAGCAGCAGGTTGCGCCGCCGCTGCCACCACCACCACCACAGGTAACACCAGATATTTTTCATATGCAGGAGCAGAAACCGGCGGTGGATTTAACAATGGATGCCATGCAAAGGCCTCAGTGGTTCACAGATTGGATGAACAATCCCAGTGATCATCAGCAAATGAATTCTTTTGGGCATGGGGATGAAATGATGCTGCCATTTAGTGATAATAATCACAATACAATGTGGTCTAATGTCTTCTTCCCTTGATGATCATCTTCTGGATTTCAAAAAATTTCCATTTCCAAGTCTGATGATGCATTTACACGTTTTAGTGATAATAATCGAGACTTTTGCTTTTTGTGATGAAAAACATTTTGATTTCAGATATGATTTGAGTAAAACCTCCATTAACTTGTATATTTTGCCTTTTTCTTGTTAATTTTTCAGTTTTCTATTTGTTAACTCATTTAAAAAACATGGTCTCCAAACTTCAGTTTCACGTAACGCTCGAGATCTGATGGAGTATGCGACAACCATGTCGAAGATTTTAATTTCGGTGACACTTAGCACTTAGGAGTGAATTGTTTCAAAAATCAATGAACTTATACCATGGTCACGGATTGCTCAACGAACTTCATTTTGCTTCACGGTACTCACTCAACTTTGCCATTTACCTCTCAGTCCACCACTATCAAAAAATCTGTTTGTTGGGCGCTGACGTGGCAGACGAAATTTCTAGGTGGCGTCTGACGGCCGTTAAAAAATTCCAAATCAGCAAAAATATTGTTTCATCACTCATCCAACTTACTCTAGGTCACAGTTTACTCATCGAACTTCAAAATGCTTCCCAATGGTCACTCATATTTGAGATATTGCACTCCATTCATTATCCGTCATATTTCGTTCACTTCGTTGCTAATGTTCGCATAGAAAATCCACATAATAAGTTACAAATGTTAGAAAAATCACAACTCAATGAAACTATCAATTTACTAAAATCACCATGTGTGAAACATGACTTCCACGGCATCATAAACTTTGTTAAAATCCAATAAAGCGTCCTCAATTATTCTTTAGAAATATCACTTTTATAATGCGAACGTTTATTGTGTGAAAAATAGGTTTCAATCTAAAGTTGAAAATCGAAAACTTAACTTGATTTGTGAAAATATTTTGTCTATATTTCACCGATTTACTTCTAATTGTATTCAATCGATCATATGGTGATTTCCATGTGTTGATGGTTTGGTTGAGTTATAACTTTTTTGATGATTTTAATTACCCGTGAAATTTTCGGACAATAAATTAGCAACGAAGTGAATAAAATATGACGAATAATGGATGGAGTGCAATTCTTAAAGATGAGTGACCATTGAGAAGTATTTTGAAATTCGATGAGTAAACTGTGGTATAGTATAAGTTGGATGAGTGATGAAACAATGATTTTGCTGATTTGTAATATTTTAACGATCGTCAGACGCCACCTAGGAATTTCATCATCCACGTCAGCGCCCAACAGATGAATTTTTTGGCAGTGGTGGATGGAGAGGTAAATGACAAAGTTGAGTGAGTACTGTGAAATAGAATAAAGTTCGGTGAGCAGTCTGTGACGATGGTATAAGTTCAGTGATTTTTGAAACAATTCACTCTAGCACTTAGGTCTCTACTTAAAAATTCCGTCCAATAAATTGTAAAAATATCATTATATCAATTTTAATATTGAATCAGGACATATACTTTACTTGGTATTGAAAAAGCGATCCCCATACTATGCTTATTTTTACCTAGTAGCCAAAACTTTGATCTCCTATAATTTCCATTTAGTTGATTTCTTGATTTTTCCAACCATTAGTAATTTCAATTTTTTTCTATAATAGTCGATTTATATAACACTAAGTCACATAAAAAAAATTCATTAGGACCTGCTTGATGTAGATTTGTGAAAAATGATTTTTTCGACGTATGGTTAAAGAGTAAGAAAATGTTAGGAGTTCATGTACAAAATTATTTTATTGGAAGAATGTTGTTGAAAACGAGTTTTAAAGAATCCGTAACAAATAGGATTTCATGTCTTTACTATTTAGATTTGACCCAATTTTTCCTTGTCTGCCTTCCTCTTAGCTCTTCATACGGGTGGTAATTATAATGTATTTTGTATTAATAGATTTAGTAAAGAGTATCGCGGAGTTATTGAACATTATCGTGAAGATCGACAGAGAGTATAGTTATAATTATGTTAGATTTATCATTTTTCAGTTTATATTATAAAATTTAAAGAACCCAGAAATACCATCATCTCCATCGCGCATCTGTTTGGTTTTGATAAAAATTATTTTTTTAATAAATTTTTATAAACGTTGATGAATAATATAAAAATTGATAAAACTTATGGATATCATGAAATAGTGTAATTGAAAATGAGTTTGTGAAAAAAGAATTTTAAAAAATGGGGACCAAACGTGAACTATATTTCTTAATCATAATTTCTTCACCATATAGTGATTTCATTTTTCTTAAATCAAATTCACATGGTATGGCCAATAGCCATTGCATATTCTTTTTTTCCCTGTAACAAGTAGGTAAGACCCTAATGGCCAATGTTACCCTCCACTTTGATGCACTATCAATTGTTAATAAAATTTTAGGGGTCATGTCACACTTTTATAGATATTATTGATACATTTTTTGCTCTTAATTCATGAGCATATGCTAGAAAAGAATGGAATAAATAGTATAAACAACCTAATAATTTTGCTCATTGGAAGGTATCAATTGTTACTAGGTAAAGTGTAATGAAGGGAGTTGTAGGGTTGAGGATTGGTCTGGTAGTCTTGTTGTTGACTGGATATATTCTCCAATAAATTGTGTGCATAGGGTTCTTAATGAATCTGTCACACTGCAAATTGTCCATTCAAGTATATATGACCAAATCAATGTCCAGAAATCCATAAGATAATCAAAGATTCTGTTTGAATTATAAATTTCATCAACTCGGCCATCATTTTTCACTGTTCAAGATTTTTTATTTTTTTAGTATAGGAACACTATCTGAGTCTGGGCGGGATTCGATTCACTGTTCATTGTTCAAGGTTTGTTTTTCAAAGGCCAAGACAAATTCTGAGACTTCAAACCACTGCACCAAAGGCGTGCAGTTGTACGCCAATTAGCTAGAATGAAAAGAAACAATTTATATTGTAAAGTAGAAATAGTATTTAATAAGAAAAATCTCATTAAAGTTTAGTATACTAAAAACGTTGTCAAGGGAAACGTAAAGATTAAGCTACTGTGGAGTTGGTATAAGCCATTAGGAAACAAAAAAAATTAGATAAATGAAAAGAGAGAACAATGCAAAAGTACAAATGAAAGAAAGCATAAAGGGTTTTTGTTACATGAATAGGGAGAATAATAGGACTGCCTTTGTAATGTATTCTGCAGATTTGCTATAATTTCATGCGATCTCCAAATCCAATATTCTATTGGAGTTTCCAACCAAACCCCACTTTTCCATCTACACTGAAAAGGGAAAAAATATTAAAGGAAAAGAAGGAAGGTAGGCTCTAATCTCTAAGGGTTGTGTGTACTTGTACACACCAAACACCACATCAAATCTCTTTCATCCAGCTCGATTTTTATTGTTGAATTGTCACATCTAATAGGACTTGAACTATTAGATGGATTCTCATTTTTTATTATTGAACTTCTAATACACGCACGACTGAGTGACGACGAGACTCGAATTTAGAACATTTGCTTACTCTCGTATATATCATATTGCACCACCCATCTAAAAGTTTGTGTTGGAACATATCCAATCATTTCCACTGAAAATTTGAAGGGACAAAGATTTTAGTGAAGGATCATTGATAATAAACAATTGAATGGAGTACAAATAAGCCAAAGATCATGTAATAAAATTCTCCACTAAAAGGATATAACTCTAGAGTATGTTTGTGCAAGAACCTGTAGTTTCTGTCGACCTCAACGAGTGTAAGCACTACTATAACTTATCGACGCTGTGCTCGTAAAATATACAGTTATTTGCAGCCATTCAGTTCTTGGAGGAAACTTTAAACAAAATTATCTAATAATGTACAGTGGAATGTGAATGAAATTGTCGGCTCAAAAACCTAGTTCAAGACAGCACATGCTGACATGCATCATAGTGCCATCAGAAACAGCTCAAAGAAAAAGGGATCCTGCAGAAAAAAGAATAACCAGTACTAATTTAGAGGACATCCTTCAATCTAGACTTTAGACTACAGCTGTACAGTAAAGCAAAATGAACAAGTACCTTTTGCCTAAAGAAGCTAGAGACCTTTTTTCATTGTTAAATAAGGTATAAATTGAGGTAAGTGGAGAAAAATCAAGAGAAAACCCCTAAATGTAACCATTCTTAGTATGAAGGTTTTTGTATGAAATTCCTCTTCTTTGGTTATGCATTATTGGAGACACTATCAGGGATTAATTTCTTGCATGTGGGTTAAGCAAAAGAAGCATAAATCTGGTTACTAAAACTAGCAGCCAATAGAACATGGGCTAATTTTACGTAGGTAAATTAAGAAAGGAAGCATAATGCAGTTTAACTATATTTAGAAATTGGTATATGTGCGTCGAATCCAAGACGTACTTCCCACAAAGCTCAAAAATTAAGCTTAGCGAAACGGACCACCATAAACTCCATCAAAGAACAGTGCGTTAATGTTGTTAAGGGAGACGAAGGATAGCTAAGAAATATCTGTCCTTTGCATGCATCATGGCCTCCGTTCGGCAAATATATAAATTATTTATAAATATAAATAATAAGAGGAATAATAATGGATCCTATGAAATTTGTTAGTAATGTTTGATTTTAATTGAAATTTATAAATTGTATTCAAAAGGAGGCAAGGAGGCTTAGTAGTTTGCAAAAGAAACAAATATCCCCATGGTTGAATGGTGAGGATCCCAAATTAATCAAAAGTAAAAGTGCAATATCCTTATAATTTTCTAAGTACCGTGAATCCATTCCACAAGACAATTGTACTGGAACCAAACATGCCGTACATGTCTGTGCTGGAATTCAATGCTGTACTGCCATGCACACCCAGAAATTTCTAGCCTGGTTTCAACAAACTTACAAGTCCAACTATAATTTTAGATGAGAACAGCAAATAAGAATTCATCTATTTAGTCGACTTGAAAATTATTGAGAATAAAACTTAGTAGTTGATATCATGAATTCAAGAAAGAGATGACAATCTGTAAATGTTTGTGTAAATCCTTCACAC